AATAAATAAAGCATGACAAATCACAACATATACATATACATTTCGACCAGATACATGCCCACCTGTTTATATCGGCAACAAACAAATTCCTCAGGCGGACACTGTACTTTATCTCGGGCTATTATTCGACAGAAGTATGACCTGGGGCCTACATGTCAAAATGAAACGAAAGACTTGAACAAGCGACTGAAAATGCTATACTCTCTTTTTTCCAAATCAGAATTGAGTGTCAGACAAAAACTAAATACATACACTTACCTATTCAAACCCATATGGACATACGCCTCACAAATTCAGGGTTCTGCAAAAAAGACGCACTTACAAAAACTACAGCCTTTCAATCTAAAATTTTAAGACTAATAATTGCAGTTCCCTGTTATGTCAACAACAAGATTTTACATACCAACCTAAGACAACCAACCATTGACCAGCACATACGTACTCTTTACTCCCGATTTCATCTTAAATTACACGGACATCACAATGGACTTATCAATGACATGACCACGGCTGAAATGCTCATCAGGAGGCGACTGAAAAGGAGCTGGATGAGAGATCTCCTTTTCTGATTTTAGGATGTAAATAGATCAGGGAAGAGGTGCTGCTGGGCACCGTTCTTCGTCATGTCTAAAATGCGAATTTTCTTTACAATAAGATCACATCTGTTCATTGTCAAGATTATGACTGGTGTGGGTTAAACTATGAAAAGAAGAAATTTTTGATTATTATTAAAACATATATGTATACCAATGGGAATCATTTCGGTTCAATCATCTTTTCTCAATAAAAAATATTATTGTTAACGAATAGTGTTGTTTATTACATCTCCACTTAAGTTTCAAAAATCTAAGTAATCTGATACAAACACAGTTTGTGAATCTATTTGTGAGTATATAATAATATACTATATATGTATATACTAATTTCAGTGCTCACAAAAAAAAAAAAAACGCCTCGGATAGGAATCTGGCACTTTTCTAAGGCGCAAACAAATACTTATTACGCACGGCATTCCAGTCATGGAAGTTTTTTATCTCATTATTTAAGGGGCAATTTACAAGCAAGCAGAACTTCTTATGACTTTAACTGGAGAAAAATTTTCCAAAAACTCCATCATTTTTTTAATATAACTTCTGTAATGGAGCTCAGTTATTTGTCGAAACTCTATGTAGTGGAACAGAAAATTTAATAGAAACACATAAGTTCCATTTTCTAATTTGTATGGCTAATTAAAAAATATATTTATATTGACTTCCGTAGAATCGACTACTTATCACTTTTACCCTTCGACGTGAAACTTGCCCCCCTATTTGCCTTGACAATATCCAAATTCCTCAGACAGACAAAGTTCAATATCTTGGACTGACCTTTGACAAAAGAATGACCTGGGGCCCACATATCAAAAACAAAACAAAAACTCTAAACCTAAGACTACGACTATTGTACTCACTCCTTGCAAGAAATTCGAAATTAAAACTTAAACAGAAATTGAATACATATACTTACTTACTCAAGCCTATTTGGACCTACGCTTCACAGATATATGGGGCAGCCAAAAAGACTCACATACGTAAACTACAGACTTTTCAATCTAAAACTTTCAGAACTATCACCAAAGCTCCATGGTACATTAGTAACATTACTTTACATAAAGACTTACAGATGCCAACAGTTAACAACCGCATACGTACACACTACAAGATATTTCATAATAACTTACACGGACATACCAATTCATTGATTAGAGGCATGGCCACAACTAACATGCCCGAAAGCACCCGAAGGAGGCTTAAAAGAAGCTGGATGAAGGATCTCCTTCACTAACTATAAATAATACGTTCAAGACAGGAAGGACGTCGTTGGGCAATCCTCTCTCTCATGTCTATTCCAAGACATATTAACCTTATAAATCTTGACATCACACTCGCTGATTGTCGGAACTTCTGACATATGTGAGTTTAAAAATTAGGTTAATAAAAAAAAAAAAAATAGTAACTTCCGCAAATCAGTTTCTGAATTCTTCATGGTATTAAAATTTTGAGATATTTTAGTCCAAATGTTCGAAACTGTCGTTCATATTTGATTTTTGGGAGCTATCGTTTTCTCTTTTCGATTCTTTGACTCGGCGTCAATTTTAGTTTCTGAGATATTTGATTCCATATCTTCAATAAAAATCATTATTATTTGATTTTCGACACTATATTTTCCTTCTACTCCTTTCTAACACGGCGTCGCGTTAAGATACAATTTCGAATAATAGCTCTTTATAACGATGATGAAATGCTGAACACTTACCTTTCTTACAATACGCAAGTTTAATTGTTAGTTTCTGAGATATTTTAATCTATACGCAAAAACACTTCAATTAGTCGACTCGAGCCGACTTTTCTCGAATGAGCGTTACACATCCGGCCGTAGCTACTCAGTTGCATTCTCTTCCCACAAAAAAAGTACAAACGTCTACTAAAGAAGTTCCACTTTAAAATTGATTACGACATCCCTATACTGTTCAATACTAAAAGACAAAACGAACTAACTTATCTTTAAAGTATGAAAGAATTGAAAAGGTATTAGTTGACCATTTTTTTATGTACTCAATTATTTGACAATTGGCATTGTCCTCGGATTATTTATATGATTTTTTGTTTATTAACATATTACCTAGTGGTGTATAATAATCTCAAATTTCATTTTTAGACTTTTGAGCCGGTAGATTCGCAATCGGCCACACTATTCGTCGGTTGTTCTACCACAGCCATTATAGTTAGCATCACAAAAATACCATATCACTAGTAAAAGTTTGTTTTCGTTCTTTGGCTCTTTCACATAAAATAATTACAAATTCGCGTCCCGGTGCTAAGGAATGCTTTTAACTCTGGCATTAATCCTCCATCCTCACACCCTGGCCCGGGAAAAACCCGTATAGCCAAAATGGTGAGTAAGGAGAGGACAAAATATATATATATATATAAAGTGAGGGAGTGGAGGCCTAATTGGCTAAACACGCGTTTCCCGGTAACCTGATAAACCAAAGATTACTAGTTCAGATCGCTGAGTTTTAACTCAAGCATTAAATCCCGCCCCCTTCCCTGGCCTGGATAAAAACCCCTATAGCCTATAAGTTGAGGAAGGGAAGAGGAATGAAAAAAAAAATCAAAATTCTATACTTAATTGATTCTTGCATCAAGCTCCTTAATGAGTAAGAAACAAACTGAAGTACTGTTATGTTTTAAACATTAATTTCACAACATAAAAACATAAACAATGTGATTTATTTTATTATTATTATTACATTTCTAAAGAAAAATATGAATAATTTCGGTTAAATCATCTTTCCTCAATAAAAATATTAAGGACATAAATCATATTTATTACATCACTATTTAAGTTTCGAAAATCTATGCAACCTGATAAACACAGTTTACAAATCTATGTGTGAGTAATTATCTCTATACACTAATTTCAATGCTCAGAAGAAAAAAAAAATATGTCCAGGATAAGAATCTTGCACTTCTCTAAGGCGCAAACGAATACTAATTACGCACGGCATTCCAGTCATGCAAGCTATGTATATCATTGTTTAAGGGACAATATACAATGTATGTAGAGTTTCGTTATGGTTTTAGATGGTAACCAAACATTTTTGTAATATTATATATATATATATATATATATTATATATATATATATATATATATATATATATCTTTTTATACCGTTAATTATAGGAACAATAATGCTTTTATAATTTATAATAATAATTTTTTCTTGATATATGCTTACATTTCGTAGTTGTATATTCTCTATAATTCATAAATAGTAAATATTTTGGTTGTTTAAGTAATCAGCTCACAGAAACAAAAAAAAAAATTGTTTTTATATTTTGGAGAATCGCTTCATCCAGAAAGCCCCCCTCACCTCCTCCCATCTATACACCAGTACCACAATGTTATTCTCATTGGTAATCTTGCATCGCTGTTCGAGAAGCCTTGTAAGAGACCAACAGCTCATTGCTGGCAAGATTAGTGATAGCTTATAGTACTATTCATGATAGTTTTTAGACTTCAGAAAAAAACTATGGATACCATTAATTATACTGTTTTCTCTTAAAGTCCAGTATTTTAGAAAAAAAATAATAAAATAAAATAAGACAAATCAAGAATTAAATAAAAGTAAAGGAATAGTTCAATTCGCAAAAGAAGGCAGTTAAACTTGAAAAGCTATAAATGTTTAGGCTTTTATGATAACAAAATAATTCCAGAAATTTGTTTTGGAAGTTAAAACTTGTTAATTAAACAATAATAGAATCTTAATTGCTTATTTTAGAAACAACACATATGAAATTTTTCCAATTTGGAAAATTATAAAAAAAAATTATTACATTTTATATTAATATTTAATATTAACATAAAGGTCTACAAAAAATATACAGCATAAATATCATCTTTACTCTAAGTCAATCTTTACACCGACTATTTAATATGCTTTATTGCATTGAAAAATGTGTTTCTGAACAATATATGCAGAATAAATCTCAACTTTGAACTGATAAAAATTATGTATGCGATATTTGTGAAATAACTGATTCAATTGAATTGTTTTAAATATTTTCTCAATAAAGTTCTTAAAGTTACTAAATAAAGCATCTTGATAAATCTAATAAATTAGTAATCTTGAAATATTTTGAATACCTTTATAGGAACTCTCCTGAAAATTAAAAATAGACACATGTAGACACAACTCCATACTATTAACAACACCTATGTATAAATAATATATTTATACATGTATATAAATCTTATGTGTATGTTTATAAACATGAATATTAACAGTTAAAAATTTATAAATATGTTCATGTTAATATTAATTTATTCTAACTTTATCTTTTAATGGGTTCTGAATATTTGTGTTGCCCATGTGTTCAGTATATAAAAGTATTAAAATAGCTTAAAGATAATAGAATAGAATAAAAAAATCAATGTATTCTATTTTTTTTTCAGAAAGTCCCGCAACTACTGCAGTTCAGAAACCTAAAAGAAAAGCTTACTTACTGAAAAGGAAAGCTATAACTACGGGGTTTTTTGATACCAATAGAAAAGATGAAAAAGACAAAGGTATTTTAAATAATTATTATTTGTGTTTATGTAAATATAATAAGTAATTTTCACTTAAAATTAACTAAAATCATTACTGTAATTTTATATTCTTTTTTTTTAAATTAAAGTGATCATACAAGTTATATAAGTTATATAACTGTTATATATAATCTAAAGCTGTTTTTCTTTTTATATGATCTTGTACAGAATAACACAATAAGAATAGTTACTATTGAAATAAATAAAACTTTTATGATCGTTAACATAATTTTTTCTTGATTTACATATATGAGTTCTGTATTTACCCAAATTTTAACATAAAGTCAAAAAAAATGTTTTTCTATGGAATATCACTTCCAAAATGGATAGTCAGAGGTGTAGAGATGTTAGTGACCATCACCTGATGTTAGTCACAGACAGTATATGCAAACAACTTAAAGATCCATGTATGGCTGGGAGATAACATCAAACCTTATGAAATATACTTTCTTAAATATTTTTAACATGTTGATTTGTAATACACCCTTCTAATTCTATGTGCTAATTTGAAATTTCATTGTTGTGTCATTAACAAAAGGTTGAATGTGCACTAAAAATGTTTCCATTAAGTCGTTAACTGATATCCAGTCTATCTAGTAAAAATGACCATTCTTTTTCAGCCAACCTGTACTACATAGATGTTCATGCATCATGTTCAGTTAAAAATTTGTCATCATGGGCTGTAATCTAAAAATCTTTTTGATTGCAATGTACACAATCATTAGTTATTACATGTATCCATATCCATATCATGCATGTATTGAATAAACACCATATTTCAATCTTTCACTGGAAAACTAGATTTTCATTCAAAGCAATTTAGATACTTTGATTCTAGATTTAATGTTATTTTTATAAAAAATTGTTTAACTTTTATCTGTTTATTATTTTCAATAATGAATCTTTGTAAACGACTAAGAGAAACAAAATGTACACCCTCCACTGATCGCCACTAAATTTGAAGTTTTCTGTTTCAACATACTTAAAATCCAAAAATTTAATAAAGAAAAAGCTGTCCATCCATAGTATATCTTCAAAGCTACGAGAGAGAGATATTGTACCAAAGTCAAAGATGATTCTAAACTTGGTATTATTACTCCTCATTTCGTTTTTTATCAATGTAGAAGATACAAAAGGTGTTTTCAATTCATTATAAAAAAGTCTTTTAAAAAATATAATAATTTAAATGCATTTTTAATCTAATAAATGAGGAAACCAAGACTTATCTTTTATTTTGTTGTGTATAGTTTCAGACCCTAATACCTGTGTTTGCAACAGCCTAAAAACAGGTTTATTTATAGGCTGTTGTGCCAGAACGGCCAAAATACTAAACAAAAGTAATAAAATTTTGTCTTCTCCTTAAAGCTTTGCAACTTACTCTATATAGTACAATCCCAGGATAAAAAAATAAGACAATTTTTAAAAACAAAAAAAATTATTTTTTCTTAACTCAAAAAATACACAATGTAAATTAAATCAGGTAATTAAACAAAAGAGGAATATCAGCAAATACATCAACTGCTTTAGGAAATAATGAAAAAATCCTGAGTGAAATCATATGTTTTCTCTAATAAGAAAGAAATCTTCAAAAATCTTTGAGCCTCTCACGCAGCACAACCCACCATTATTTTTTTTATTTATTTTTTTTAAGTTATAGCTAAAGTAACTTTAAACTTAGCTTGCATTTTATGTCTTTTTAATTTAATTTTATTCCTATTATTCACAACCAGAAAATATAATTACATATAATCTTAATTAAGGGCATTGCTAACCAACATGTTTTATGCCTTTATTACACAACAACCAACCACAATATAAATTTTATATATTTTCACTACCATATTGAACCCACAACTAAACAATACATTAAAATTACCACAATAAACAAATGTGAAAAGAAAAAAGGTACTTTTTTTACTAATGTGACCAGCCAATCTCCTTCTACTCCTCTGTTAAAAATTTAGGATTTTTCATTGATCAAAACCTCTTTTGGAATCACCATATTTCTCATATCTCTCGACACAGACAATTTCCACCTTCAAACTATTCCAACGCTTCCGCCACCTCCTACCTCAACATACGCGTAGACTCCTAGTTTTCTCTCTCATTTTCCCCCACTTTGACTATAGCTGTGTGGTGTATGATGGCCTCTCTGTGCAGCTCCACGATAGATTGAAAAGACTAATGAACAGAGTACTTACTAATAAACAGTAAGATTTGTGATCGGGCCCCCAAGATACTCCCATGTTTCTCACCACTACGCTGAGTTAAAGTGGCTTTTCCCCTCCTTCCAAAGACAATATTTCCTTGGTACATTCCTCTATCAAATCATCAACAACCATCGTCCTTCTTACGCCTACAACCTTCTCCAGTTCAAATCCTCAGTCCATTCCCTGTCGACAAGATCTCGACCTTCTAAACTTTACATGCCTTCTCACAGATCTGCCTCATTTCAAAATTCCTTTATTGTTCGCTCTGTCAATTTCTGGAATTCCCTCCCTATCAAAATTCGACATTCCCCATCCATATCCACATTCAAAACCCTCCTATTCCAATTCCTCTCCCAAAAACAGTCAGATAGTTGCTAACCATTCGAGCTGATTTTAATAGAGAATTTGATATATTTTTATTTTTTAATTTTTTATTATTTTCTTAAAAGTGTATACTGATCTATCAGTGGAAATAGCTTTAAGTGTCTTGTCATAGTATTAATTGTTTTGTATATAGTTTCGTTTGTTTTGTTTATAGAATGTTTACCTTATATTTTGTTTACATTTTTTCTTTTTTTCGATTGATTTTATTTTGGCCAGATGTAATCTTTTAATTTTGTCCTATTTTGTTATTCTCAAGGGTCTGTGTCCCAGAATAAAGTTATTTTTCTATCTATCTATCTATCTATCTACTTTTAGTTTAAAAAAAATTCATATCCTTTATAAACTTCTTTTACAAACGGGCCATTTTATTTCTTAAAGTCATAGAATTGGGTTCATAAGATTTTATTTTGCAAAAATAGCTCTACTAAATCATAATATTAAACATTATTAATTTCAAAAATAAGTTTTTTTGACATTCATTACATATATATAAGTGCTGGTAATGATATAATCACCTATATGAAAATTAAATTCTTAAAAAATAAAAAACTTGATCCTAATTGAGTAAATTTTAATACTCCTTCAAAATTTGAATTTTTGTGTTTCAAGAAACACAGAAGCCAAAAATCGTAAATAAGAGAGTGTACTGAACTTTGTCCATGATTTGTATAAGCAAAGGTACAACAAACAATTTTTGTATTGGTCTTTCACTCAAAGCAATAAGAGTGTCAGAACAGAGTAGATATCTGATTATATAACTATTTGTAAATTAAAAACCATTGCATAATAATATTTAGTTTTTGTTAAAAAATAAATTAAACTACTTAAATTGAGTGTAAATGTTAGTTCATATCTAATAATTACAAGTGTGTTTCAGGTGAAACAACGACCACTACTGGAGGTTTGGTCTTTGGCATACCACTAAGTCAGTGTGTCGAAAACGAGAAGTCTCGCCTCTCGCTCCGGCCAGAAGGAGAAGATACCGAGCTGAGAAGAAAGAGCAGAGGTAGCTTCTCGTCTCTCATCGAATCACCCAGGACTGATGAAGTGAGATTTACTTTAACCCTAAACAAAGCATCCATGTAGTTCATTAAGCCTTATCCCCATGGTCACCACAGTTATCACAATGGCAACAAGAATCACAGCGATTATCATGGTGTAAAGTGAACAGTAGTATGACACTTGGTGTTTTAGCAGTAATGTCGCATTATTAATTTTAGTATGGTAGTTGACAGTATCTGTTGAGAGGTACACTGCATCCAGTCAACTTCACACTTTATCTAATCTAATCAGCTATAATGATGATCGCAAGGAAAAATGTTATGCTCTAAGCTAAAACATTATTCTCTATTTTTTCCTACTGTGACTAGGTTTACTGAAAAGGACACTGCTACTGTCTAACTGTTTTAAAAATACTATAATAACAATAACTGTCATCATGTAAATGAAACTAGGCTTACAATATATATGTATACATTACTCAAAACAGTACTTATTATCCTACTGAATTCCCATAACTCTACCAACACTAATTATTCAAATCAGCAAAATTTAATAGTTAAAACAATTTTTATTTCACCAGTTAGTTTTGTTATTTTAATTGTTCTTTTTTATTAATCTTTTATTGTATTATTTGTAAACAGCGAATTAAAACCTATAATAAAAATAAATAGGCGTATTTTAGAATAAAATTAAAACAATCCAGTATCTCTCTAGCCATTATACTTTATTTATCTTTCCAAAAGAGATATGAATTTGTTTTCATTATCTGTGATGATTTAAAAAAAACCATATTGTTGCAAAATTAGACAATTACAAAATGAGATGAAGAACCACTAATAATCAGAAATTAATTCATCAATAAAATTTTACTTCAATACATTATCATTACAATTGTAACATTTTAGGCTTTTTGCACAGTTGCCATTTTTAAATATTTCTATGTTTGTGATCTTCATAGTAAATAAATATTTCATATCGCTCAATGGAACTAATTGTTGGCATAGTAGACATATCTTGTTCAAAATATTCAAAACCCATTATTCATCATTAAATAAATTATTGGACCAATTTTCTCACTTCATTAATTATTATAAACCAAAAATTACTAGATTTTTCAAACGTTTTACAACAAAATAATTTAGTTGATACAATTAAGAAATTTCAAATTTTAATGAAAAAATAAATAAAACCTTAGTTCTTCATGAAAATATTCAAGTCAGATAATTATGCAATTAGTTTTTCCTTAAATACATTAATTCCTAAATATTTTCAATAAACAATTTTGAAACAAATAAGTTAAATAATTAATGATTTCAAAATTGAAATTATGACCTGCCTATCTATACAGAAACATATTTTTGATTACTTCAAAAGCTAAATGATTTCTTTATACCATTCATTCATTTTTCAATTATTAAATAAAATAAAATATATTAACATTCCAATCAGAACATTTTACAAAAATGTTTAATGCTAGAATTGAAAGTTAAAGCTTATAACAGTTTATTCATAGGACATTTTGAAGTGCAAAAAACAGCTAGGGAAAAGTAAGGTTATTTTGAACCTGATTCAGATCTCAGTTAAGATTCTAAACATAGCTTTAATCACTGACTGGCAACACAGCCAAACTATAAGAGTCCCCAAAATTATTAAACTATTCGGTAAATTCTTCTTTTATAAAAAAAAAAAAAAATCGTAGAAAATCTACATTGTTGACAAATAATTAACAATAAATCAAAAAAAAACTTCCAATTTCATAAATTGATTCTATTTACCCAAGGCTCCAAATTCAGGAGATAATCTTTAGAACATTTTCACTCCAATCAGATCAATTATTGCACTTATACATACAAAATAGAATAGGATGAAGTCTCACATATGAAATACTTACATGCTTATCAAAAATATATAAATGGTGAAACAATTTAATTGCTATTAAATTGTGCAACAGCATTGTGGAAAGAAAAAAATATAATAAATTTATTTAATATGTAAACAATCATCTCTCTATTATATAAAAAAGTTTTTAGTGACCATCGTGTAATATTTTATTTTACATATACAAAGCAGGACAGAAAGACACCACACTTCTTATTCCCAGAATTATTTCTCCATTATTAGGGTTTCAAATTGACAACAAGAATAATTATAAGTATATAACAATATAAATTGGCAATAAGGTGTGATGTATAATAAAAAAATTAAAAATTTCTTCTAATTGTGTTTTCGTTTCGTTTATTTTATTTTAATAAAAAATAATACAATCTGAACTATAGAATAGAAGTAAATTACAGATATACAATTTGAGCAACGAATAGTACAATTAAATTAAAAGTGGTGTTATTTGTAAAATAGAGGTTGGTCCGCTATTAGGCGGGCAGAGGTAACCCTTAGTAAATTAAAAAGAAAAATAAAGAAGTCTATATACATAAACAAAGATCAGAATTAAACAACAAGAAGAGTACCGTAGATAAGAAAACATTAAATCATAGATAACAAAAAAAAGCAAAAACAGGAAAATTGCATAATTAAGTAAGAAATTGCTGTGATTTTTTCATGTTTCTTGTTGGTAGAGTTGAATTGAATTGCCCCTATTTCCCGACAGCAATCACTCCTTGGAGTGTTCCATTTCTAATTTTTTAGAACCATAAAAACTTCCCTATATTCTAGAGCTCCTTACTCTATGTTCCTCTATTCATTTTCAAAATACTAGATCACAACCAATTGATCTATATATCCCATCCCAAAAAACTACAGCAAATCTTTCATCACTTGTACAACCTCTTTTTGAAAAATTTTCATTCACTTACATAAATTCTTATCCACAAATTACTTCAAACAACTCTTGTTCTGCCACCTTCCTATTCAAACTACCATAAGATATAAGCACTATTTATTTCAGTAATTACAATCACTACTAACAGATAATTTACAAGTAGTATTTTGTAATTATCTTCCCCAACAAATGTGCTTTTTATTCTAAAAAGTAACTTTTTTTTTAATTAAATTTCATTCTCATTTATTTCTCTTGAATAGTCCACTCTTCACCATACATTTTCACAATTTGCACACTTCCAGTGTACCTGATAAAGCTTAAAACTAAAATATTGCTGATATTACCGTGTCGTCTGTAATAGCCAGATGTTGGGTTAGGCGGTGGAAAGTTGTACCACCTGGATTTTTTCTCATTTAACAAACTGCAGACTAACTCTAGAGTGAAGAGCAGGACTGACAGTGGGTCACCTTTCCATAATCCTTTTCGTACTTTAAATCCTTAAAAGTATCTCTGTCTGATTACAAGGATGTCTTCTTAATAGTCATGACAAGTTTTTTTTATTTATTTAATTTCATTTAAACACCTAGTGAACATCAATACTAGCCCAATGTGAAAAGTGAAATAAAATATTTTTTAATATTCCTAAAAAAAATTTAAAAATGAGTAAAAAAACAGACTTCATAGAAATTTAAACTATCCTGTATGTTATCACTATTCTCTTGAATTACTTTCATCAGAAACCTAATAACCAGTCGATAATTTTATTTTAAGCTACGTTTGAATTCCTACATGCAATTAATCTTCATTTATTGTATTAATTTATTTTAACCAGTGTAATTGATATATTTTTATTTTATTTATAATATCTGCATAGTGGATTATGCCTAAATTATACTTGCTGGTTTATTATCAACTGTTAAACTACTGTTCTGGAAATATCAATGGTATTCAATGTCCTTTCAATATGCAGCTGTTATGAATGTTATTTCATCAACTATTATTTGATTATAAATTGCAAAACATTACAAGACAAAATGTTAATACTTAAAGAGAAAAATTAATACTGTCTAATTATAAATGATCCCTTAAGTCAATTACTTGTTTCAGAAAGGATCATGCGAAAGCTTGATAGGAGGGACCTTGAGTATGCCTGGGTTGGACAGCATCTCCTGTGGTTCGACGCCCAACCTTTCAACTCCAGAAGGTGGAGTACCTACTATTGTTACCTCTTGTCTCAGGCATCTTGAGAACAATGGATTGCATACCCTCGGAATTTTCAGGGTATCCAGCTCCAAGAAACGTGTCAGGCAGGTAAAATTCAAAACAGTATGTAAATCCACTGTGTCAGTCCTAGATTAAATTGACAAAGTAAATCAATAAAATTTGGTGAATATAATTGATTTTTTTAAAAACATCATTCGATAATTTTTAAAATTACAATTGTTTCTAAAATATGGGATTCTAAAATTAATTGAAATTTCTATTTAAAAAATAATAATAAATTTACAAATAAAAACCTCAATGAATATAATCATGTTTCAAAATTCTATAGCTAATAATGGTAAATGAGGATCAATCAGATTTAGAAATATCACAAAATGACCCATACATAACACTATAAACTTATTTTCATGGTATTGGGTAATAATTCTCAGATACACACAAATAAATTAAGATTATTTAAATATTTTATATGAAAAATAATAGTAATATTTTTGAAAATTCTGTACTGAGTATTAAATCCAAGAACAGTAGATGAATTTCTTAAACAGATTAAAACTGCTAAAAAAATATTCAATTAACTTTAATAGCTGTATAAAATTATGGTTCTCATTATAGCTTAGAGAAGATTTTGATTGTGGAAAGGACATTAGTCTTGAAGATGAATTGTGTCCACACGATGTTGCTACATTGCTCAAGGAATATTTCCGAGATTTGCCAGACTCTTTACTTTGTAAGGATCTATACCAAGCCTTCATTCAAACGCAGAGTAAGTATTTTTATCAAGTTGAATCTACTTTCTCCATAAAAAAAAATGCAACATCAATAAATCTTAATTTTTTTGTTTAATCTTTTACTTAATTTATGATTAGTTATATAAGAAACATCGAGAATTAGCTATATCATCGATACTCATTATTTGTCAACAAAAAATGTTTAAATGTTTTTCTGTATTGATATCAGAATTGTCAGTCTATTTTCATCTTTGGTTTGTCTATTACATTAAATCATCACTTTTTTCTGAGTTTTATCAGTGAAATAATAACTTATTTAAGCCATGATGATTCTTCAAGAATATTTATTCTTCACAAAGAAGGAAAATCTTTGCATTAACACTAATTGACTTGCTTCATTATTCTCCAGTTTCAAAAGTCATTACTCTTTTAGTGACAATGAGTGGGAAGGGAGGAGCAGCCATGATGACGGCATTGTCAGGATACTTTCCAATAATTCTACACACCACTTTAGCCTTTTTATTTAGTGCATCATTCCAAACTTCATTTTTTTTTTTTTTCTAACTTTTATACAATTAATAGAAAAGCCATGAGATAGGTTTGGAAGTAGAATACATCACTGACCATCCCGTCATTTAAAGAGAAAGTATCTGACAAATCCTCAATTCATACATGAGTCAACCGTTGCCTGGGTCCAATTCCATGTTTACTCATATACGAGTCCACTATCATTAAAAAGTTAAAAGAAGAGAGAGTATGACTGGAAGTCATTCAAGACAAAGCAAATCCTGAGAAAAAAAAGTGATGAATCTCATTGATACAATCACCAATAACAGAGGAAGTAAAACTTCTTATTAAATACCATTGTAAGCCAATATAATTTAAATTTTGTTAAAAAAGATAAAAATTAATTTTAAAATGTCCCTATGAAATTCAAAAATTTCTAGGTGTTGCAATTTTTTTATGGTGATTGGATAAATAATATGAATTATTAAAATTTTGCTGTTTTACAAAGGAATAAGAAACAGGCGCCTACAGCATGAAGCCCTCCAGCACCTTCTCCAGCTGCTTCCAGTTGCCAATAGGGACACGCTGCTCGTATTACTGTCATTCCTTTCCCTAGTAGCGAATCATGCAGATGATCAAAAGGATAGTTCAGGTAAAATACATAAACAGTCAATTGAAAAAAAAAATTTCAAATTTTACCATCAATTTTAATATATATATTTAAATAATTCATGTAAATTTACTTATCAGGTCAGGTTCAAACAGGAAATAAAATGGACAGTAGTAATCTAGCAACACTGTTTGCTCCCAATATCTTACATAATTATTCTAAAGGCACGCCTAGTAAAAAAGATGAGTTGAGCACAGAACGGAGTGAGGAACGAGCAGATGCCATCAATGTGATAAGAAGTCTTATAGATAATCATAAAATACTCTTTCAGGTATGTTCTATATTAATAAATTATTCACTTAAAATTTAAAGTATGTGTAAATAATGCTTTTCGTTGTTTTTGTGTTATCTTACAAGTATTTAACACATTCAAATAAAAGATAGAATATAAACAGAAGTAATATAAACATGTATATGTGAGAATTAAAATGTTGTAACCAATATATTTTAATGAACAACTTGTTTATAACAAGGTGCCAGCAGAGCTTCTAAATGAAGTTTACATCCACATGATGGATAGCCATCCAGAATTATTAGACCAATTACTCAGGAGGAGAGACACATCTGATGAGTAAGTTTCTCTTACAATATATTTATTTAGATCTAATAAGTAAGTAAGTATTATTTAAAATATTCACACTAACTAATAAAAAAAAATAATATACTATTATAAATCAGCACATAAAGTTATATTTAGTTTCCATAATGTTAAATATAAAAGATTACAGAAAAATAAGGCAGGAACTCAATAAAGTTTCAATTTATTGATGGCTTTGAAGTGAATCTTTGAAAGTGCTGAAAAGAAGTTTTATGTTTTAACAATAATGTGATGAAACAAATTCAATAACACTTTGGCCACAAATTAGAGGCCATCCTCACCCCTCCACTTTTCCATTCTATTCCTGTTGCCCACACTGTCTATTGTCAATTCTACCGCCTTATGACTTGAACCTAGCACTTGTTTATAGCTAGTGCTACAATCCATAACAAAGTAGTCCAAGTATAAACTACTGATCTATTTAATATAAAAAATATAAGCTATGGGCCTATAATCAAAACAAATCAACAATTTATCAAACTAGTTAAGTGTAAAATAAAATGAATTAATGCTGTGACGTTTTTAACTGTAAAAATAAAATAAATTAATGCTGTGGTGTTAACAATATATATATATATATATATATATATATATATATATATATATATATATATATATATATATATACATGTTCATGAATGCTAGTGTTTGTGTTATATGATATTTAATTGTATAGACTATAGCAATATGAAAATTAAAATGTATATATACCAATAAAAAAAATCCTACAATGAAATATGAATAAATATAGCGAGTGGCCTTATTTATCAGTGGCACACAAACTATTTTATGGTACTTAATTGTTTATTATAATCAAATAAAGGATCGAAATATAGAGTCTTAAAAGGAAATGGTTAGTGAAAAAAAAAAGCATAAATATTTATTTTTTAGTTTAAAGTGAAAATGTGATTCATAATATAAGGTTTGGCTGTGTTTATTTCACCATTTTTATTTTTCATTTTATTACATTACCATTGTTGCAGCCAAGACGCCATTTTCGAGCCATTTAAATTAATTGTGATCACTATGTCACTATCACTACATCTTAAATGTAGCATAAATATAATAAATTAGACGGCTGTGAAAAACATTTAGTTAATTATTGTTTTAAATAATATTTTGCAGCATCTATAATTGATACTTTCACTACCCTTTGCTGAAAAAAAAATCTATTTCTGCTAACAAAGATAAGTTAGTGAAAGTTGTGTGATTTGCGCATGGCACTAGATTTTCTCTCCTACCTTGTCTTTTTGGTTATATGGAGATTTTCTGGGTCAAGAAGAATGGATGGATGACTAATGCCAAAGTTAAAAGTCCCCATCACTGGGACTTAAACTCAGTTTGCTGGAAAACACATATTTTGCACACTTTTTAGCCCGCTCAGCCATCCCACCCAAAATTGAAATTTTCTTTAACAAACTTTACACAATAGAAAGATAATTACTCTATTAATGTTAATTAGGTTGTGCCCCTGTTTATCCTCTCTGTTTTGTTATCCTGTCAATCTCCTCAATTTCACAAGTCAAGATTTTCTCTAGTAAGAACAACTTTCGCTTTTCCATGTTGATGTTCCATGTTCCATGTTAGTTCTGGTGATAAAGTTTATCCTAAAAACCAGTCAACTCTGGGGTAAATTTACTTTTACTTTTATTTAGTTTTTTTGTTATTTATTTCTTTGTCCATTGATTAATCCATTGAGGCGGTAAAGCAGAACTCTATTGTATTTAGAACCCAAAAAATGAAACATAAGATATCAACAGTAATATCTTGAAATAGCTTATGTATCTAAGAATAAGTAATTTCAAATAATTTCAATCATAACTAAATGTTTATCTACAGCTTTGATGACAGCACTAGTGGTGGACTTGATGATCCTGATAGGAAATACTGGTCTAGAGAAGCCTGCACTCATGAAGGAGCTGCAACAGGAGGTCCGGATGTCTCCATGAGGCCGAGGTATTGAAAGAAATGTATTAAATTTCACATTATGGAAGAAGGAACTAAATTATTTTCAAAATAAAAAAATCAATGAAATGAGCCAAAGATAAAAAGCTTCCAAGAGTAAATTTTTATCTATCAACATCCTCATTCTGCTCTGTGCCTTTCAGTGCATAGGTGACTCTAACCATTTAAACCACAGATCTTGATTTCTTGCTAGTACCATGGACTTGCCTAGGGTTTATGTAATCTATATCATTTCTCATGTTCTCTTATTTTTAATTTGTCCCCTATTCTACCTCAGAACTTCATTCCATCAACCATAACTTTCCTTATATGTTTGTCTAGCATGATCCAACTGTTATTACACATATAAAAATATTGTGGGAAGGTAAACTGCTTTGACTATATGGATTTTCATATTCCAATTTATATCTTACTTCCTATAGCAGCGTTTCCAGACCTACTCACTGAGTACCAATTTTCAGTTAACTGGATGTTCCACCTGAGACCTTATGATATTAGTATTAAGTGTTCATGTTCATAAAAAATATATAAACTTATTTGCAAAATTTTCTTCAATAAATAAAACAACATACACTAGTTTTGTAATAAAACAATAGCCATAGCTGGATATTAATTTGAATAGTATATTGGTCAGTGAACAAATTAAAATGTAATGCATTATGAGAAAGAGGAATACATTTTCTTTTACTAGTTCAATTAGAACATTTCATTCAAAATAATAAACCAAAATATCTGTAAAAATTGCAATTGGCTATATATTTGCTAAAATTGGTCGGATTTCAATCATTTTTTTTTTTTTTTTTTTGAATATAGAAAACTTTCAAATAACAATGTAGATAACTGGCCATAACATATATACTCCTGAGCTATGCACAAATTAAAAGTTTTCTGTTCTTCAAAACTTTTTGTCCTGACTTTTCTGGGGAATATGTTTACTTTTTGCTCCTTCAAGAGAAGACAATCTTTAAAATGATAGCTCAATTATTGTATTTAATGAAAAATAATGAATATGATACATACCGACAATAAACATCTTTAATAAATAATATATAAAGGTTTTGATACAAATATACTGTAAATTTTGCTTAAGATAATAATAAATTAAAAATAAAACTCAAAATTTCACATAACAGCAACAATTACAAACAACATTTTACAAAACAAAAGTAAGAAAATTTTGAAAAAAAAATTTAAATGACAATGACACAAGTATCAATATTTTTCAGCTGGAAATAGTATTTGCAATCATAATATCAATGTTAGGTTTGATGAATCCCAACTTGTAAGTAAGTCCTCGACAACCCTGAATATTTTCATCTTTACTAGCCATAATATTGTAGATTGTGTTTATTCATTTTCTAATTGATGCATGGAAAGCAATATTTAAAAATTGTAATCTCTCAATGAATGTATTGAAAAGATCTATAAACATCTTTTTAGTCTAAATTTTTAATTGTATGATTTTTTGCTTTATCATTTACCATCTGGAATGTTCTTGTGTTTACAACAAGTGGTGCACTAATTTGGGAATCTCTGCTCCAATGTATTGCTAATTCGGTAATAGACATTATTTACTTTTCTGATCTTGTTTATCAGTTTATATCTATTTTCTTACAATGCCAACACATACGTCTTGAGCAACTCGATTACTGTAAATACCAGATTGCTGTTTCATAATGTTCTTAAAACAACATATAGGTGGAGAAACATGCCACTTGGTCATGTCAACAGCCTATTTGAGAATAATACAGGATAATAGTTAAACCCTGAGTCTGATTGTCATAGCACAGAACCTTTAATATGAGGAATTTTCTCTTTTATCCTTCATAAAACAGTACTTTCTTATGAAGTACTGAACTAAAGACTTCATGGATTGTAGAGGAACATTTTTTTTTTTAATAAACGTACACCAAAGATTATTATATAAAATTATTAAACTGATTTCAATGAAATAAAATAAAATTGTATTACCAAATTTAGGTTTTATATAATTTTTTTCTTCAAAGGAGATTGGACAGAGGTAGAGAAAGAGTGCCAAAGAAAAGACGAGATGAAAGTCGGAAGCGAGGAGATAGTGAAAGTTCTTCGAGAAGAGCTTCTGATGACAAAACTAGAATGTCCTCTTCAGACAGTGGTCATCACACACCAGAAGAGAGCAATGTTGTAAGTAGGAAATGTTTTAAAAAAATATTTTTACCACATAGGTAGTTTGTGTGGGAGGATAGTACAGAGTGTAAAATATTAAATTTATGTTACAACAGAGGTTTGAGCACAGACTTGGCAGAAAATTTATTTTATATTCTATCTTCATTTACAAATATGTAATAATAGTATTTGAATGTAATTCAGCGCCTAAAGAAAGTGAGTTTAGGACATAAAATTAACCAAATATTTCATATGAATAATTATAATTATCAACATGTATGTTTTAGTACATATATTACCACTTTGTTTTAACAGAATGATGGTGTCATCACTGCAAGTCTCAAAATACCAGTACCTTCGGTGACATCATTTTCACTTAATCTAGATGACATTCCATACATTGAGGACTCGGATAGGCAACAAATTACACTTGGTAAAACCTTATAACCATTTGAAATTTTTATCTTTTAACTAATAACTTATTAGAAGTTTTCAGACATTTTAAAATCTTTAGTGAACTTTAATTTAATATTTTATTAACTGCATAACTAATATGTCCTTTTGCACTTTTAAATCTTTCAGGACCTTGACCCCATCAATACCCAACAATTTTTAACAATATAATATACTACTTAAATATAAAATTTTGTGCAATATTAATTAATTTATCTATAGCAACATTTCTTAAAACTTTCAGGATTTGCTGTTTGTGAGTTTTTATCATCAGTTTAATATCTTTCCTTTATTAACCTACCCTTCTAATATTCATTTCAGCCAAGAAGATTTAATAATAGCTCCTTGTTTAGATATTTGATTTGTCTATTTATTTTATTTTCAGTTTGCTAATATCCCCATAACCCTTATTATAGTTATAAACTAATTTATATTCATATATTGCAGAAAATTGTGGGATGATGATATATTAAGACCCTAAAACATTTAAAAATATAAAAGGACAAACATGTTCAACTGACATGTTTAACTTATTTTATGTACATAAATATAATTGTATTAGGATACGCACATAATTGTCATTGAAAGTAACCAAAGGACATCGAGAAACTTTCCAAGATTCTTTTAAGAGAGGCAGAGCAACTCAGCCTACAAGTAAATGAAGAAATGATAAAATATACGATAATAAGCATAAAATTCCACCCCAATAACAGGATATGTGTATAAGAGAAATTGTTCACGAGAGTAGAAAAATTCAAATACCTCGGCTCCACAATAACCTCAATGAATGACCAACGGTCATAAATAGACCAGCATATAACTGGCGCAAAGAGAGCTTTCTTCTCCCTTTCAAACGTATTGAAATCCCAAAAAATGCTATGATAAAGCCTGTTCTAAAATATGGTTGTGAGACCTGAGCACTAACCAACATAATACAACATAAAAAAAGTATTGCAAGATTTGAGAGAAAATATTCTACACGATAACCTGAGATATACGGGATCACAGTACTAACACATGGAGAAGAAAATCCTATAAAGAGCTACTTTCACACACTGGTGAATCAATATCTCATGATATGAAAGCACAGAGGTTAAGATGGGCAGAGCACTTGGAGCTTGTAGTTTGGAGGAATCCAGCTTATACGTGACAATGAATGCCTCAATAGAAGGCAAAAGACCACTTGGAAGACCAAAAAGCAGATGGATAGATAGAATCCACACAGATGCAATAGAGCTGCATGCAGATAACTGGAAATAAATAGCCCAAGATAGGCAGAAAGAGAACAGACTTGTTAAGATGGCTAAGGAAAAAAAGTTATATTAGCTAATAAATTTATAAATTGTTTTGTTGTATTAGTTTAGTATTCTATAACTTCTTTTAAGTAAAAGAAGTTAAATTCTCAATAAATTTATTGAAAACATCAAACTAAATCATTTAATAAAAAATATTATCCAATATAGTCAATACAATAGAGCCCAAACTAACTGACTATCCAGATAAACAAGGGGTAAACAGGCATGATGATTTTCACAGCATTTGCACTATTAATCAATAGGCAAAACAAAATTATTCAAACTACAAAGTTACAAAAACAAAAAAAAGTTGTTTTTAATATATATCTTATCTGTGAACCAAAGAAGATTCAATGAGTAACAAACCAGAGGGAATTATCGAAAAAAAAAAAAAAAAAAAAAAAAAAACTGATTTAGTGAATAATATTATAAACTGAACAATCAATTGTACATGATATTGATATGATATTTAGACCAGGAAATGAAACTTATGTAACATTTTTTTAAAAAAAGTTCAATTTCAACAGGTTTTGTGAAACATTTTAGAAAAAAGTTTTTAAATTAAAATTTTTAAGGAACTTTTTTGTAATAAAGTACCAATTTTATGATAAAACTTTAACTTGTATTTATTCAAGTTCTTAAAATAAATTCTGTTAAATGAAAAATAAACAGCAATTAGGTTTAGATTAGAGTTACAATTTGTCTTAAATGAATTACACATGATTCTAATGTGCCGTTTGTTTGAGTAACTAAGAATAAAAGTTATTTTTTAGGTAAACTTTTTAGCAAAATACAAAGAATTTTGAAATAAAAGTTTTTAAAAATAAAAGTTCTGTAAAACCTTTACTTGAAAAGTTGCAAGGTAAAATTTTCTAGTTACAAAAGAACTGAAAAACTATCGACAATTCCAATGATACCAAAACTTTTTAAAAATAATTTTTGTTTTCAGTTTTAAGCCATGCTATGGCAGTCCATATAAAAATTGAAACATAAAAGAAATATTAGTATATTGGTTTTATATCTTCATTTTTAATAAATATTGGTACAATTAGTGCAAAAGGTTGTATGTAACAATGTTACATGTTTAGTTTATTTGTACTAAAGATGACATTTTGTAGTCTGCAATTGCAATAACTAGTCTAATACAATTTAAAATAGCAGAAGGAAAGAAAATATGAAACTGAACTGACAAATCATAAAGAAATAATAAATTTGTATGTTCTTCTGTAAAAAAAACTCAATTTTTACATACAACCTTTTCCACTAACAGTAGCCATATATACTTTAATTTAATATTGAAGTTTTTTCCTTTTATATACTCCGAATTGATCAGCTCTCTTAATTACATGGATTAAGACAGATAAGTGGTATTATACTATACTCTTTTACACAAGAAAATAAGCTAAATTTTTCTTGATACAGATTGTCTTCCTAGATGATAATTATTGCATTGATTGCTATATGATTATCTAGGTATTTCAAAAAGCAGTGGTTCGCAGCCAGAAAGTGGATTAGGCTCGTTTTCACCTCCAACTCGACCGCCTTCTGTAACCTCCTGGGGCTCAACGCCAACATCTCCTGAATGCGAACCTACGACTGCTTCCATCACTTTTCCCTCCAGGCATCAACCCCAGCTTCAAAGGGTTACCATCACAAATACCAGCAAAATTCAACAGGTATTTCAATCTGTTTCCTTGTTTATTTATCTAAATAAATTTGTCTCTCTAGAATTAGCTAACAAATTTTTCATTGTAATTATTTTATTTGTAGCAATGACATTAACAATTAACAATATTAATCAAATGAACCAATTTATCTCTCAACATTTTATTTCATTAAATAATTCTACAGTAACATCTTAGTTATTTTGAAACTAATCCCATTTTACCATAAATGTTGTATTTCTAAATTATTCGCTACATGCTATTCAAAAGCAATAGGTGCTAATGTTGTTGAATGTTATTATTATTTTATTTTTTCCACATAATTAGGTTAGAATATCAATTGTCTTATAATTTTTAAACATTATTATTTTCTGAACAAAACATCTTTCATAACATAAATTAATACATTTGAAAATTTTTAATATAGAATAGAATTTTGTGAAGAAGGGTGGGCTACAAGAATTACTCCAACAATAATCATAAAAATCATTTATTTAAAGCCAAACATAATTAGCCTATTTTTTTTTTTCTAAGTTTAATCAAGATACAATAAGTCCCTAACTTCAATGGTCCTCACTGTTTCTGCTTAGACTTTCCATTGAACTCTTCTTAGTTTTCTAATTCTTATTAGTGTGTTTTATCTTATCTTTATTCTGCTTTATTCATTCTTAGTTTTATTCTTTTATTAAAAGTCTTTTTTTTCTTTGCAATATTCCTCATAACTTTTATCGCTTTGACTATTTTTATTCTTTATCACCAAATTAATATATATTGTACTTTGTTGCTTATTAATTACATTTTCACTTTCTGTCGTTTTACTTCATTATATCTCATGTCATGTACAACAATATGCCATTTTTTATATTTCTACAATATTTTCTTTTTCATTTCATCTTTATATATCTTGTATTACTGTATCAGCTATTTATTGTTAGTGTAATTATTTTTAAACTTCCTTTTCTGTCATTCTACCTTGATCATATATGTATTTCTTGTTGTACCATATATCATTCTTCATACTTCAGCAATAGATTCAACTTCTTTGTTCAAAAACGTACAATGTGGACTAATAAGTACTATTTTTGGAGTCTTTCTTAACTATCACCCGGCCCATTAATAAATCCTTTATCAATACCATTTCATTACCTAATTATCATAAGCTTTCATTTTTATTTTTCAAGAGAAGCAATATTTTTATTCATAATCGTGTGGAGATAAATATCATTATTACTAAAGATAATTTTTATTTGTTATTATATGCATTTCTGACGCATGGTGGGATAGCTGTTCTCACTTCCAACATGAAAACTATAAAATACTAAGAAATATAAAAAACAAATTTATTGACAGTGGATGGTTGTTGGACGTTACTATTTAAATATTTTGAAAGAAACTAATCATGAAATAAAAGACAACTGAAACTGTCTAAATGAAAGAAAGTTAATGCATATAATTTCTTTGCTCTTGTTTTGAGTTTTGATAAGCCATTATTCTGGCCAAGGTATTTGAGCCAATGTACTATTGACCAGTAAAGAGAAGTCATTAGCAGCATAAAATTATCACAATTCAACTAATTTACATTTCAAAAGAGTGACCATGTATGAGATAGCTACTAACAATGCTAACACAATAAAAGGATGACATCCTAACCTAAAATACAGTCAGCAGAGAAACCCACATGTCAAAAAATTAAGCTTAACAGAAAACCTGACGATGTTCTACATAAGATACAGCCATTTGCAACTTAACAATTTTTTTCTTTGTATAATTGATATTCTCTGAAACCAATTCTATTGTATAAATAACACGTAATTTCAAAAACATCTTCAGATAACTATAGCACTACCCATTCCTAGAGACAAAGGATAAAATAAAAGGAAGAATGATTACGAGAAATTGGAAATTAAATGAAGAAAAGGATAAATCAACCAGAACGTCCATGTGTCTAGAAACTTGTTTAACCTTTATGTGATTAAAGTATTTTGTATGAAATTGATTTAAGTTTTTTCATGAACTTATTACACTGAAATATTATGTATACTGTAATATCTCTCTTATATTTTACAAATAATAATATAAGTTCAGGAGATCACTTCATACTATTGGGAAATTGGGAATTTTCTTTTTGGGAAAACTACCGAGCAGCTATTTTCTTTTTCCTGAACTAGTAGAACTAGATTAGCTTGCCTTTTCAATGTTCAATATTAATTTATTAAACCATTTTTACCTACTCCCTATTAAGGTGTATATTAAAATACAGAGATGGAATATTATTTCTTGAACTTGATACTCTGGTACTCTGAATACTAAATACTCTGAGTTGTATATAATCGTTAAATGATTACTATCCACTTATTATTATTGTTTTGTAGAATATTGAAAACATCATCAAAGCAAGAAAAACAGCTATATTTTAATTTTAACAACTCACTTAAAATATTGTCCGAATTTCTTTCCTCATATAATTCTGTTTTAAAAAAAGATTTTTCATTTATTCTTCTTGATAAGAATACATTAACATTTAATTAATCCAATGTATTCAATTTATATTTTACCTTTACATATTTGTCAATAATTTTAAAATATTATTTTATGAGTACTCTTAACAGGTTTTCCACAATATTTCAAATTAAAATTACACTTTTTGATGTCAAGACCAATATTCATTATCATGACTTTTAAATTTATATGTTAAATGACTTGTTTCTTATGCTATTTAGGACCAAGAGTGTCATGTTCAAAAAAAATAAACGCACCTCCTGTAAAAATATATATATATATATATATATATATATATATATATATATATATATATAAGTTAACTATTGGCTTCGATAAATAGAAAAATGAAGAAACAAATAACTGGAAATAATTCAATAGTTTTTATTTAACAACAAACAGTAGTATCTAACTCAAAAAGGTTATAACCGTATATGTTTTAACATGTGTTTTTTAATATATTTTAACATGTGTTTATTTTAAATTGCAAGAAATAATAATGTGATTATTTTTAATTGAAACAAATAATATTAAGTCTTAAAAGTCTTATCTATCTCACACCGGACCTTAACTCCCCCCTGCCAGTTTATGAATATTCTTCGTAAACTAGTATCTGAATCTTACAGGTAGGTCAAGTCCGGAGTGAAGCGTCATCAGGCTATACTTTTTCATCAATAAAATTTTACATTGGTATACAATGAGAACTTTGCACTGTGGTTACTTAATTCACTTGATACAAAAGAATGGTTAAGTAATAAAAACAATAAAAAAAATCTGCAATAGTGCAAAAATATAACTACAAAAAAAAATCTTCCTGTCCCACAATGAGGACATTCCATCTATTTATGGTTGCTTTGGCTCACCTTTTGGGAGCTTTAGTTGTTCGATGTGGACTGTTCTGCGCTTCTTAGGCTCTTTCAAGCTCTCTATAGACACAGTGTTATGTTCACGAATGGCGATCACCCTGAATGGGCCCTCGTACCTCACTAGCTCCTTGCCCCTATTGGATCCTCTCCTTCTGTACACTATCGTTCCAATTTTAATATCACCCAGTACGTCCTTCAGCCCTAAGTTATCTTTTCTTACCCTCCTACTTTTTTCGTTCTCAATTTTACTACGGACTTTCTCCCATCGTTTCACCAACGCTATTCTATTATTAACGACACGTTCCGATAATTCCTCGTCTACTGTCGTACTCGTGCTATCCCTGGGCCGTTCCCGCAGCCCAAATAGGATCTCGAAAGGCGAAAAACCTGTTGCGGTATGAATTGAATGATTATATGCCGTGATAGCCTTCGACATCGCCACACCGGGTTCTAGCCCTTTTTCTGCTTGATATATTCTAAGGTGGTCACTAAGCGTGCTATGTAGTCGTTCTATGCCTCCTCTACTTTTTGGATGTCCAGGGGTGTTAATGTGCCATGTAATATCCAAGATCTTCGCCTCTGCTCGCATAATGGCATTGTTAAATTCCTTTCCTCCATCTGATGCAATCCGGTCAGGTACGCCATAAAACTGGAACCATGTTCTTAGAGCCCCCAAGACTGCTTCTGACGACCGCTCCTGGATCAGGTACGCCATTGCTGCCTTACTAAAAAGATCCATCAGCGTGACCCATTTATATCCCCTCCAAGTGAAAGTGTCTATTTGTAGGTCCGTTAATGGTGAATCTGCAGTGGGCGTCTCTTCCTGTATTGCTCTGGGAGGATGCCTATCGTATTTGGTGGTTAAGCATATTTCACAAGCCCCAATGACCCCTTTGATTGTTTGCCTCATCCCCCACCAAAAATACTTCCGCTTTAGTGCTTGCAATGTCTCTTGTATTCCTCGATGATTCGTCTTACCCTGGTGATATGCGATCGTCACCTCCTGTTGGGTCTCTTTATCCTTCAGTGTTTCAACCTTCAGGGTGCATCGAATAAATCTTCTGTCCGTACCGATTTTCTCTGACCGCCATAACCGCTTAATCTTATCCCAGACCGTCGCATTCCCGACGTATATGTGATGGGTGGTGTCTGGTTTTGACACATCCTTGAGTGCGCGACAAATTAAGTCCTCTTTAATTCCTGGTTGCGACCAGATTTTAGTTATCTTGCACTTTCCATACTCATCGTACTCAATCTTTGTTGTCCCCGTAGTCCTGGTCTTCCATATAATTTGATGTCGCTTGTCATTAATAATTTCTGCTAGCTCTTCTATTTCTAAGGGTCTTTCGTCCATAGAAGTATCCTCTTCCTGGGTCTCCTCGTCACCTTCTTGCATACTTCGTTCTCCTTCTCCTTCGGGTGTCCATTCCCGCATCAACTGCCTGACATCCCTAGAGGGTCCCCCTCTCTCTTCTTCTTCTATCGCGTTTACCATTATCGCCCGGGACAGCCAGTCGGCCACAATATTTTCCTTCCCTGGTTTGTATACAATTTCCAAATTGTATTGACTCAGAAACTCTTTCCATCTCGTTACCCTTGCGGAAGATTCCTTTAGCTTCCCCACCCATTGGAGGGGTCTATGGTCCG